GACTTGAAGGCTTGATCTTCCTGCCTCTACCTCTTAAGTGCTGGGATTAAACGTGGGCATTACTGTGTCTGGCTTTTGGAATTTTTGACACTGCTCTGGCTTTTAGGGTTCTGGACATTGAACCTAGAGTTTGTGTGTGCTTGGCCCTGCACTTTAGTATATTGTTCACTGCCGCTAAGTTCTTTCTTTTTCCTCTTTTTTGAGACAGGGTCTCATTGAGCACAGGCTGCCCTCCAGTTTCCATGTAGCTGAGGATAACTTTGAATTTGATTCTCCTTCCTATACCTCTAAAGAATCAGGATTACAGGCATGTGCCAAGCTTTCTCCTTGCCTATTACTCCTTCAAATTCTAGCTGACCAGTGTTTTTTTGTTTTTTTTCTTTGCTTTCATAGAAATAGTTAGTCCTAACTTTGTGACTCCTTTGGGCTTTGTGCATACTTTATTTTTTTTATCACTCTGTAATAATATTTTTTAACCTGGATATTTCCTTGTCAAGACTGAAAATTATTTTTATTTGGGGCAGGGGGCATGGTGCTTGTGTGGAAGTCAAAGGAGTTGGTTCTCTCCTTCCACATTGTGGGTCCCAGGGAGCAAACTCAGGTTGTTAGTCTTGGTGGTAAGCTCCTTTATCCAGTGAGCCATCTCTCTGGCTGTTTTTTGTTGTTTTTGTTTTAAGAGTTATTAATTTAGGTCTGAAGAGATTGATCATTCGTTAAGAGCACTGACTATTCTTGCAGAAGACCCAGGTTCAAATCCCAGCACCCACATGGCAGGTAACGACTGTCTGTAACTCCAGTTCCAGGGGATCTGACAGCCTCTTCTGTCCTCTGCAGGCATTGCACAACATGGGTGCACTTACTTACATTCGGGCATAACACTCATACACATAAAATAAAAATATTAAATTTTTTTTTTTTTTTTTTTTGCCTTTTTTAGAAAGGGGCTCCCTGTAGCCCAGCTGTCCTGGAACTCACTATGTAGACCAGGCTGGCCTCGAACTCACAAAGATCTGCCTGCCTCTGCCTCCCAAGTGCTGGGATTTAAGGCGTGCACCACCACGCCCGGCTTAAATAAAATATTTTTTAAAGTTATTAATTTAGACAGGGTCCCACTACATAGCTAGGTAGTTCCTGACTGGCCTGGAACTCCTCTATAGACCAAGTTGGCCTTGAACTCACAGTGATCTGCCTGCCTCTGCCTCCTGAGTGCTGGAATCAAAGGTATGAGTGCTAGAATCAAAAGCATGTGTCACTATGCCCAGCAAGATTTGTGTGTGAATTTGTCTGCATGTGTATATGTGCACGTGTGCCCATGGAGGCCAGAAGAAGGTGTTGGATCCCTTGAAGCAGGAGTTACAGGAAGTTGTGAGCCTCCTCAGTTGAGTGTTGCAAGAACAGCAAACACTCTTAACTGCTGAGCCATCTCTTCTGTGCCTCTCCTCTTTTAAAAATTGAAACAGAATTTCACCAAGTTATCTAGGCTGGCCTCAAACCAGCCCAGCGTCAGTTCTATGGAGCTTAAGGAAACAAAAAACTCGGCAAATCCACACTGGATCTTTCTTATTGACAACCATTTTTCCAGTATAATAAACTACCTCATCTAATTTACATTGAAATGAAGGAAACAACAAACCTTGTGGCATTTTTCCATGAATAATTAGCTACCCCAAAGTGTCCTTGACCTAATGTGTCAACATATTTTAGTTTACATTAATCTATAATTACCAGGAGCTCTTAAATTTTTAGCAGATTTAATAGAGGCAAAAGTTAAGTCTTTCTGCTTTGTTATGTTTTGCTTTGTTTTGGGTGTTTAATTTTGTTTTGACTAGGTCTTCCTGTATAATTTCTTTTTTTTGGGTCTGATGTAATTTCAATTGACCTGGAACTCAATATGTAGCAAGTAGTGAATTCACTTGAATCATCATCCTTCTGTTTCAGCCTCTTGAGTGCTGGAATGACAGTTCAATAAATCCTTTTTTGTTTTCATCTTTTTAAAAAAATTTATTTTATGTATACGAGTGTATTGCCTGCATGTATCTAAGTGCGCCCATGTAGTGCCTGTGGATGTCAGAAGAGGGCATCAGATCCCCTGGAATTGGAGGAGTTATGGACTGTTAGTCATCCTAAGGGTGCTGGGCACTGAACCTGGGCCCTCTGCAAGAGCAGCAAGTGCTCTTAACCACTGAGCCATCTCTTCAGCCCCAATTCAGTGAATCTTTTTAGCTAAACCAAAATATAAAGTTTTTTATGTGTTAGTTTATGTGGTGATCAGTTAATCTAGAATGATCAGGAGGATCCATCATCATAACAGCTTTTACCGTGTTCAATATCTCTGCTGTTAGGAATGTTCCTGTCAAAACATGTCAGAAAAAAATCCTTGTGTCCTTGGGCTAGGTCATCAGAGCAAGCGCAACAATGTTGCATTTTGTTAAAAATAGGGGGAAATGCTGTAATATTTCCAAAATCTGTTTCTCCTTTAGTGTTAAAGTTCCTATAAGCTTCTTATGTGATTGTAAAGGGCAGAATGCATTAACATAGAAGATCTTCAGTGTGTGTGAGACTCTAGGTTTGATCCCCATCACTTCGGAGGGGGTTAAAAAGAAGGGGAATTGTAGCTATACATAGAAATTAAATTTTCCATGTGTGTGTGTACATGTGTACATGTGTGCTTTCAGGTACATGTAGGTACACAAATGTGGAAGCCCAAGATGCATGTTGGGTGGGTGTCTTCTCAATCACCCTCCACTATTGTGTGAGACAGTGCTTCTCAATAAACCTGAAGCTCGCTGATTTACATAGGTCGGGCAACCTGTGAGCCTCAGGGACCTGCCAGTTTTGCCTTCTCCCCACCCTATCTCTTGTGCTGGGGTTACAGGAGTATACCATTTTCCCAGCTTTTTATATGGGTTCTGGGGATCTGCACTCAGATTCTCCTCCTGCTTGTGCTGCTGTTAACATTATACCTATGCAAGCTTTTGTTTTAGTAGTGTGTGTCTGTAGTGATTATAGTTACAGGGGAGGACATTGTAAACTCTTTAGGGGAATAAGATACCAAAGAAAAAGAGTAGAGGGGCTTGATTATTTGGCCTCAGGATGTATCGAAGGAGCTGAAAACTCAAGCTTATTTGAGGAAGGAGTTATAGATGAAGAAAAAAAAAAATCCTTCCATAGAGGGCCTTACATAGGCTGGGCAAGTCTACCACTGAGCTGCAGGTCCAGCCTGAAACAAAAGTTCTAAGGGAAGGTGATTCTTGAGGTCAGTTGGCTACAATTCAGTAATACCCAGATAATACTTGAGGGTAAATGTCAGTCAAGTTCATAACTAGTTCTAACTATATACTGGTAACTCTGATCTGAACTCCATTTTTCACATTGTACATGGCAACTCTCTGACAAGTGTCAGTCAGTACTTTTTAAATTAATATACAGTGACAGGCTGGAGAGATGGCTCAGCAGATTAAAGCACTTGCTGGTCTTTCAGAGGACCTGGGTTTGGTTCCTAGAAGCCATGTCAGGCAGCTTACAACTGCCTGTAATTCTGGTTCCAGGGCATCTGACGCCCACTTCTGTGGGCACCAGGATACACATACACATAAATAAAAATAAATTTAAGAAATATATATGTAAACAGAATTATCAAGATGACTGCACATTGTATGGTTAAGTGTTGAGCTTCAGGGTGTACATACTCACATATAAAATATACATGTGCCCTGAAGAGATCAGAAAAAATTGGGCCATGGTCAAGGTAAGAGTGAAGAAAAGTTCTGGAATCTGATACCCTGTTCTGGCCCCTGCAGGCACCTGTATACATGTAGTGTACATAAACTCATACAGCCTCACATACTTACACATAAATTAAAAATAAATCTTTAAAAAATGTTTTTAAGAAGTGAAAGATAAATTTGGGTTGCAGAGAACTTAAATTGCCCTAGGGATATATACTAGGTAGATACCTTTTAAACATGTCAGCCATTCCAGAGTAATGATGGAAAGCATGTGCTATTTTCAGAATCACCACCTATCAGAACTAGAAACACGTTTAAAAAAAAATCACTCCCTGGGTATGGAGTGAGGGCTCAATTGGTAAAGTGCTTGCTGTACAAGCTTGAGTTCCTGAGTTTGGGTTTCCCAAACCCACAGAAAATCTTGGGGGGAGGGTGACACATGGCTGTAAACCCAGTACTAGGGGGCAGAGGCAGGCAGCGCTCTGAAGCCCATTGGCCAACCTACCCCAGTTATTGAGCTCCAGGTTCAGTGAGAGGCTGTTTTACTCTTGTTGCTGTGGCTAAGCACCTGACAGCAAAGCAATTGGAAGGAAGAAGGGCTTATTCTGGCTTATAGTTCAAGGAAATTCTTCCACTATGGTAAGGATAACATGGCAGAAGATGAAGTTGTGGTGGCAGGAGTGTGAGGCCCGCTGGTCACAGTGCATCCAGTCAGGAAGCAGAGAGCAATGAATACTGGTGCTTAGCTTGCTTACTCCTTTTTATTCAGTCCGGGGAATCGTGCTGCCCACATGTAGGGTGGATCTTTACACATCAGTTAACCTAATGTACATGGTCCTTCACAGACAGTCCTGTCTCCAAAGTGATTCTAGGTCTTGTCAAGCTGATAGTTAATAGGAACCATCACAGTGACCTTGTCTCAGAAAAGATGGATAGCAATTGAACACACACACACACACACACACACACACACACACAAATGCATACACGCACGCACACTACTCCCTGTTGTGCTGCTAAAAAAGGGAAATCTAAGCTCAGTGGGCAAGAGTGTAGAAGAGAGCAACTGACAATCTTGGGATTCTAGAAGAAAAGAAAATAGCTTATTTTGGTAAGAAATTACTTCCTAGTACCAAACTATTAGATATCTTCATCTCCTGTGGTCTGACCTACAAAGGTAATTACTTTGTAAAGAAATAGCTTCAGTCGTGATAGTTTCTTGTCATACAAAAGCTGTTTTAACACAGTTTTATTTTTTTCATTTTGTTTTAGGCATCTTGTACTGACGGGAAACTTTTCAATCATTTGGAGACTATTTGGCGTTTTAGCCCAGGTCTACCTGGCTACCCAAGAACTTGTACCTTGGATTTTTCAGTAAGTTGATCATAAAGTTCTTTGTTTCACATAAAGCAAAGTTGGTAAAGGAGTACTAATACAGCAAGCCTAGTGGTATATGCCTGTATTCCAGCACTCAGGAGACTGAGACAGGATTGTTGTGAGTTGTGTTCCATCCTGGCTATATACTGAGTTCCAGGCCAGCCTAGGATACAGACTAAGACTCTCTCAAAAAATAAAAATAAGGGCTGGAGAGATGGCTCAGTGGTTGGGAACACTTGCTGCTCTTATAGAGGACCCAGGTTAAATTCTCAGCATCCATGTGACAGCTAATAACCATCTGTAATTCCAGTTTGAGGAGAGCCAATGCCCTTTTCTGGCCTCTACCAGAATAACTCTATGAAAAATAAATACAGTATATAAAAGTTTTATGCCATTTTTGTTGGTTTTATTCTTTTAACTAATTTTTTTTTTTTTTTTTTTCTTTTTTTAGACAGGGGCTCCCTGTAGCCATTGCTGGCATGGAACTCATAGAGATCCACCTGCCTCTGCCTCCCCAGTGCTGGGATTAAAGGCATGCACCACCACACCCGGCTACAAAGAAATATTTGTAAAATTTTTTTTTTAGTTTTTTTTATGTGTATGAGTGTTTTGCCTGCCTGTATGTAAGTGCACCTGTGCTAAGGCCAGAAGGGAGTGTCAGGTCCCCTGGAACTGGAGTAAAGGATGGTTGTTAGCTGCCCTATGGGTGTGGGGAACCAAATCCAGGTCTCCTGAAAGAGCAGCCAATGCTCTTAACCACTGAGCCACCTCTTCAGTCCCTGTAAAATAATTTTTAACATTTTCCTACAGATTTCCTTTGAATTCCGCTCACTTCTGCACTCTCAGCTTGCGACGTTGTTTTTTGATGAAGTTGTAAAACAAATGGTAGCTGCCTTTGAAAGAAGAGCATGTAAGCTGTATGGTCCAGAAACAAATATACCTCGGGAATTAATGTTTCATGAAGTTCATCATACATAAAAGGGAAATAAGAATTGGTACCACCTACTTTTGACTAGATCCTTCACTCTTAGGAAGTACTTTCATGATCTGTTCAGAAGTCAGAAAGCTTGTTAAATCAGCTTTGATTATAAACCTGCTCCACTGAAAGTTTGCACATTGAATATGAACCCACTTGTACATAGAATTATTTTTTCAATCAAATGTAATTCAAAGTAACGTGTACATTAGCAGGTTCTGCCTTTATAGTAATGAATGTTATCACTGTTGCTAGGATATGTCACCTTTGAGCACAAACTGAAACTAATTTAAGCCTTTAAATTATCACCCTATGTGAAAGAGGTTAGCTAATACAGTGTGTGTTACATTAACCATATCATGTTTAAGTTATTAAGCTCAGAGTATTTGTAACTTATTATTATTAGGCCTGCCATATAGCTTAGGATATTTGAATAATCATCATATATTTAAAGTTAAAACTTTAATTTAAAATACTGTTAATGAAGGTTCCTACCACTTTCTGTATTTTTAAATTGTTCTGATGGGTAGTTGTAGATAATTCAGTGCTCTAGAGAAGCTGATTCTCAAATAAACTATTTTTTTGGTAAGTGGTCCAAAGCTTTGAGCTACTTTTCTAGTCATTTGCAACCTTCTCCCAGGTGCTTTTTTGTGGGCTTTTTAAAAAATGCTAATTGCCTGTCAGTTTTAGGCAACAGATAAAGATGAGTTGGTTGATGCATCTCTAGCACTGTGTATCTCTATTTTCTATTTATTGTGTATGTTCACTTTCAATAATATATTCTAAACATATTTTTTAAAACAATGTAAATGCTGAAGTAGTAATAAAGTTAATTTGTTTATTTTTTGCACAGTTACTTTGGTTCTTTAGATCTTCTATAGTAGTTCCAATGTGTATTTGGGCAGGTGTCCTAGTTTGCATCTCTTGCTGTAATAAACACCGTGACCAAAAGCAACTTGGGGAGGAAAGGGTTTGTTTCAGTTTCCAGGATGCAGTCCATGTCAAGTGAAACCAGGCCAGGACCTCAAGGCAGAGCCCATGGAGGAACGCTGTTTACTGGCTTGTTCTCAGGCTCTCATTCAGCTACCTTTCTTATACTGCCCAAGGCCACCTGTCTAGGAATGGTACCACCTACTTTGGGCTGGGCCCACCTACATCAATTGGCAATCCAGAAAATGTCCCACAGATGTGCCCAGAGAGGCATATTCTTCAATTGCAGTTGACTCTTCTTGGGTGACTCCCGTCATCTTAACAGCTCAAGGTTAACTATGATCACAGAAATAAAGTATTATAGTATTTCTTGTCTTATAAGTACTTTCATGGGTGTAACACCCTAGATGTGATCCCCATCACTGTCTACACACACACACACACAACTTTGACAGAAACTGACAAATCTGGGCAAAACTCAATCTTTCTTTAGTCAATATTGATCTCCTTCCCTCCTTTCACTCTATACAGAATAATCTTTTGACATTAAACTTCCCATCATAGTGCTTTTTAACCTTATTTGGTACATGTATGGATTTGCTCAATAAATCTGTTGAGTACCTACCTGCTGTCTCTCAGGAACTAGTGGAACTTTGTTGTGTTTCTACACAAATAAAACATTTCCCATTTGCAGTTAAGGTATGTGTCCAGAGTGTAAGTAATCTGCATATAATTGTGTCTCTTGAATAATAAAGTATTCAGTTTGGGTTTTGGTGTTTGGTTCCATTTTGATAAGATCTCTCACTAGTCCAGGCTGGTCTGGAACTTACTATGTAGCACAGGCTGGCATGGAGCTCATGGCTGAGGTTCCTGCTTAGCTTCCCAAATGCTGGAAGTACAGGTGTAAGCCACCATACCTGTTTGTCTTTGTTACTTACATTTTGTGTGTGTGTGTGTGTTTGCATGTGTGGGAGCACATGTGTGTGCATGAAATAGCCTTTAGTTGACACTGGGTGTCTTTGGTAGCCCTTCACTTAACTGAAGCAGGATCTGGAGCTCACTGATTCTGGTTAGTCTAGCTAGCCACCTTACCCTGAGGATCCCGCCTCTGCCTTTCAAGTGCTATGGTTACAGGTGGCTGCCACACCTACCTGGCTTTTTATAGGGATCCATATTCTGGTCCTCATGCTTGCACAGCATGCACTTTATCCACTGAGCCATCTCAGCTGTGAGGGGCGCATGCTACCTCTGCTGTTTTGCTAGGCAGACATATCAGACTGCCTTCTAAGTGTTCATACTCACAGACTGTGCTGCTTTTCATCAGTGTAGCTTCTTGCAATGGGTAGTGGTCAATGCAGAAACTTAGAACTGCTTAAAGTGCTGAGAATAAATGACTTTGAGTCTCAACCCCAATTGGGACATCTCTATCACCCCCTCCAAGGCTTAGGGAACATAGCTCAAGAAGGGGTAGAAAGAATGTAAGAGCCAGGAGATGGGGAGGCATGGGATATACACAAACTTTAGAGTTGCCAAGATGTTTATGTGTAAGTAGGATATAATAGGGTTACTATTTCACCTTGTGTTTGTTCTTTTGAGGATAGTTTTTAATACCTTTCTGGGCATTGTAGGTATCTTTCCTGTTGACTTAGATAAAATATCTTGACAAAAATAACTTAGAAGAGTCATTTGGTTCAGTTTGAGAGTAAGGTCCTTAAGTCATGGCCAAAGGAGCCTCAGGCAGCTGGTCACATTGTATTCAGTCAGGAAGTAGAGGGAGATGAATGCTCATCCCAGCTAGCCACCTTTTCATGCAGATCAGGACCCAAACCCAGGGAATGATGCCACACACTTTAAGTGTGGGTTTCCTGCCTCAATTAACCTAACCAAGATAATCATTTACAGTAATGCCCTAGGTGATGAAAATGTAAGCAAGCTCATTAACTTCACTTTTTTTTTTTTTTTTTTTTTTAGCATTTAATAGGAGGGAGGGGGTGCACATGCCACAACACACATGGAGGTCAGAACTTGTGGTAGTCACTTCTCTCCTACCATGTGGTTGGGTTCCTGGGATTGAACTCAGGTCATCAGGTTTGGTAGCAAGAGCATTTGCTGAGCCATCTCACTGGCTGTCCCTCCCCCATATTCTTTACCTTAAAACAGTCTGTCTCAAAGCTGACAGTGAAAATCACCAGGCTGAAGCTGCTGCTGTTTGTGAGGATCAGGAAGACACTGCTGTCATCTGCTTCAAAACTTAACTTCGCAGGATTTTGGGTCCTCCTATATCCAGCTATCCGGGGCTCTTGCAGCTGCAGTGAAAATACTCCATTTTCTCTTGTCCTGAAATAGCAGGGTGTTCCTTTCCCCTTGGTTATACATTTTTCAGGCAGATTCAGGTACATTTCCATGGTCAGGCTAAACAACTGGATCAGTGTTTACTTCCCCCTTTTCCATTTCTGGCTGTTCTAGTTTGTTTCTTCATTGCTGTGACACAACACTCTGACCAGTACCAACTTGGGGAGGAAAGGGTTTATTTGGCTTACATCTCCCAGGTCACAGTTCATCTGGGAGCCCAAAGTAGGAATTCAGGCCATGGAGGAACGCTGCTTACTGGCTTGTTCCCCTGGCCCCTGCTCAGCCTGCTTTCTTACACAACACAGGTCTACCTGCCCAGGGGTGGCACCACCCACAGTGGGCTAGGCCCTCCCACATGGCTCAACAATCAAAAGATGCCCCATGGACATGGCCACAGGCCAGTCCAATGAAGGCAATTCCCCAATTGAGGCTCCCTCAACCCAGATGTGTCAAGTTGACACTAAAGCTATCCAGCACACTGGCTCATACATTGTTCTCTTGATTCTGGAGTTTACTTGAAAAGGCTTTGTTCAAAGGAAATTCTTTGAAGACAGACATCTAAATCCTGCTTATTTAACAGCACGGACAATCCACTTTTTGCAGTTCAAAATTGGGTTGGAGCCTGCCATCTTGAGGTTTCCTCAAGGAATGTATAATTTCTGCTTTATCAGCAGTCTCTAGCATCTTTAACCTTCTCAAGTAATCCTGTAAAAAGTCTTCTTGATTTTCTCCTACAATTTCTCACTACTTTAACGAATTTGCAGTCTTCACCTGTTTGTGTTGTTTTTTTGGGAAATGAGAGTTAGGGTGGTGACTGAACCCCAGCCTCACATTCTTAGGAGTGCTCCACCCGGCTAGATCCTAGGTAATTTCCAAGTTGGTCTTTTTTAAAATAAAATTTTACTTACAAGTATTTAAGGACTTGTGCATGCAATACCCAGAGGCCAGGAGAGGGCATGAGATCCCCATCGTTGTTTGCTGCCATGTGGGTGCTGTGAACTGAAACCACTGAGCAAACTCCCTGGCTTCCAACTGTCTTTAAGCATTCAAGTGGCCAAGACTGGTTTAAATTGCACTCTAGAAAATAAAAATATTTTTAAAAGGGGGTGCTGGAGAGATGGCTCAGCGATTAAGAACACTGGTTGTTCTTAAAGACCCAGGTTCAAATCCCAACACCCACATGGAAGCTAACTGTCCGTAACTCCAGTTCCAGGGGATCCAATGGCCTCTTCTCTTTGCGGGCACTGCATGACATGAGTGCACTTACCTATGTGCAGACAATACATTCATACACATAATTAAAAAAACAATTGTACTATTGCTCAATAGCTGGCAAATACCATGCATTGAGTCCTTTTATTTAACTATAATTTAAGCTTCTTAAAAATTAATTTGTGGGGGCTGGGCGCTTGGGAGGCAAAGGCAGGGGAATGAGTTCCAGGCCAGCCTGGTCTACCTAGTGAGTTCTGGGGCTACAGGAAGAACGTCTCAACAAAAAGTTTGTGTATGTGCACATGCTTGTGCCGCAGCTCATGTGGAGGCCAGACAACTTTCAGGAGTTTGTTCACTCCTTCCACCATGTGGGTCAGGGGACTGAACTGAGGTTGTTACCTTGATGGCCATATACCCAGCATTAAGACCTGTGTCTTGACACTTAATCATTTCTGTGTCAATTGTAGTCTTCTATCCTCCTTGATCTAACAGCAACTAGAGCTCTTTAAACCCAGGTGTTTGAGTTTTTAAAATTTTTGATTTTATCTGTGCTTTGCCTGCACCATGTTGTATAGTGCTTGCAAAGGCCAGGGGCGGGTCAGATCCCATACTTGTTAACTGCCTGAGTACTGGCAAAGGAACCCACACTAAGTGCTAGCTAACCACCAATTAAGTCTCTCCAGCCACTCCCTTCACCCTTGGTCTTGTTCCTTACCTTAGACTATCCCAACTTGGCCTGTTTAGGTTCACGATTTCAAGTAACTGCATTATGCTGACAAACTTTTATTCTGTTCAAGTTTTGTAGTGTAAGTAAGAACAGCAAGAACATCTACCTCAATGCTTAGCATACAGCAGTACTTGAGGGCCAAGTCGGGAGAGCAGATCCAGATTCTAGTTTTTGTGTCATGGAGGTCAAAGGCTGATATTGGGTGCCAGTGGCCAGCAAGCCTAGGTATTTTATCTCTCAAGTGCTACAGATTAAATTCAGGTCCTCATGCATGCATAATAGGTTACTGAGCCATTTCCCAGATTCTTACGTAGATGAAGAAACAGTATGCTACTCTTTATGATAAAGTCTCAACACTCAAATTGGTTAGACAGATGAATTTGTACTGTTGCCTTTAAGTACATATAATCATATTGGCCAGGCATGCTGGCATACACTTTTAATTCCAGCACTTGGGAGATAAGAGGCAGACAGGCAGATCTGTGAGTTTAAGGCCAGCCTGGTCTACATAGTCAAAGATCCTGTCTCAAGTCTATCTGCAAGAAAGTACACCATGAAAACGCTACAAAATACAGATGAAACATACACACACTCAGCTCCATTCTTCAACTGGTCTTCATTTCTCCCGTCTTCTACATCATGGAAAAACTAACACAATTACTAGCTTTAAACAAAATTTTATTACACAAAGGTTGTCACATAATTGGATCTATTTTGTACAGAATTACTCTGACTCTCCACAGAAAGGCTGCTTCTCATCTCTGATGGCAAGCACTGAAACAGGAGACAAGATGCCTGTGATTGAAGTTGAAAGCGGGACACTGGTACATGGCTTGTGCATCCAGTATCAGGAATGTACAAATGTCTTTATTCAAAAATACAAAATAAATTATCTGTAGGCATGGACAATGACAGCAGTAAACCATTATATATATTGTCAACTGAAACCAGTAACTGATGGTTATAGTGATTTTCTTAAACATCAGCCATCAGGCAGCCTTTCTTCAGTCACTTTCTTCAACTGACTTCTCTGAAGTTATTGGTGAGGAGCCCTGCCTTGAGCATCCTGTCACAGTTCACTGATAAGGGCAAAGCACTATTCTAGGAATTAGAACATGCCACCTCCCATACCACCTCCCATTCCACCCATGGCACCCATTCCAGGGTCCTTCTCTTCTTTAGGAATTTCTGTGACGACAGCTTCTGCTGTAGTTAACAGAGAGGCCACCCCAGCAGCATCCAGTAAAGCAGTCCTTACAACCTAGAAAAACAAAACATTGTTTCTCTCAGTGAGATGAGTTAATTACATGTCACAGAGCAAGCCACTCCAAGATTTTTTAGGAATACTGAATTATTTACCTTTGTTGGATCAATGATTCCCTTTTCTACCATGTTCACAAAA